ATGTAAGAGTTGGACTGTGAAGAAAGCTGAGTGCCGAAAAACTGATGCTTTTGAACTGTGGTGTTGGAAAAGACTCTTGAGAGTCCCTTGGACTGCAAGGAGATCCAACCAGTCCATCCTGAAGGAGATCAGTCCTGGGTGTTCATTGGAAGGACTGATGCTGAAGCTGAAACTCCAGTACTTTGGCCACCTCATGCAAAGAGCTGACTCATTGGAAAAGACTGTGATGCTGGGAGGGATTGGGGGCAGGAGGAGAAGGGGATGACAGAGGAATGAGATGGCTGGATGGCATCATCGACTCGATGGACATGAGTTTGGGTAAACTCCGGGAGTTTGTGATGGACAGGGAGGTCTGGCGTGCTGAGATTCATGGGGTCGCAAAGAGCCGGACACGACTGAGTGACTGAACTGAACTGAACTGAACACAGCAATGGATGAGGCTGAGCCACAGCAAAGCGTGTGGGCTCACCAGCAATGAAGAGGGGGTTATAAGGATTGTTGGGGGATGGATGGAACTTGAACTGTTGTAGAAGGGTGGAGGGCATTTCAGATGTTTGCTAAATTGGAGCTAAAACTGGATGAGAACTCTTCCTGAGTATCAGAGAATTTTGCTGAAGCTGTCTATTGTGCAGATATTTTGGAGAGTAAGGGAGGTGGTGAAGTGGAATAATTGATTAGTGGTGTATGGTCACAGAATGCTTTGAAAATCAGCCAGAGAATTCTAGACTTGAGGAGGAAGGGAAAGAAGGAAAGAAGCAATGTGTGTTCTTGAGTAGGTCAGAGATATATTGTAAACCACGTTTCCAGATTAGTTTGGTAGCAATTTTTTACAATCAAGTATTTATATGGATTAGGTATAAAATGGGATTCCCAGGTGGCTCAGCAGTAAAGAATTTTCCTGCAGTGCAGGAGACGCAGGGGACACTGGTTCGATTCCTGGACCAGGAAGATCCCCTGGAGGAGGGCATGGGAACCCGCTCCAGCACTCTTGCCTGGAGAATCCCATGGACAGAGCCTGGCGAGCCCAAAGGGTCGCAAAGAGTCGGACCCGACAGAAGCAACTGAGCGTGAACACAAGGTATAAGATGAAAGGTCCACATGCATGAAATCAAAAGTCTACTTCTTTTTTTCTGTTAAAATATAAAATTTTGTTGTTAAATGACCACTCAATTAATTTAAAACACACCTACGGAAAGAAGGGCAAGCGTAATTGGATGGAACTTATCATCAGTCAGACGACATCTGTGGAGCTTTGACCTGGGGCTTAGAGCCCTTCTGAGTGGTTGGTTCTTTAGATTTTCACTGCACCTGAGCCCTATTTCAAGAAAAATAGCAAAAATCATGTAAACAGCTAATTTGGCCGATACGAAAAATTCGGACTTTTTAAATACAGAATTTCGACAGTTTTATTCTCAATCCCCAGCATAATGCACGCGTTACACTCCCAGGCCACTGGGGAAGGGCCCTGGGGTTACCCTGGAAGGCTGCGTGTCTGCCTCAGGCAGAGCCCTGAACTGAGGGCAGGGATGTGAGGTCAGTCCCAGCTCAGGTTTTCCTCAGTTGTTCTCCTGAGTCTGGCCCCTTCCTCAGTCCAGATTTCTTCTAAAATTGAGGGATGTGGAGATAGATAAACTGAGAAAGTGCGCTTTAGCACAAATGAATAAAAAATACATTTATTTATGTAACAAGTGTTCTAGTTTGAGCCTGTGTGCTGTGCTTAGTCGCTCAGTCGTGTCCGACTCTTTGCAATCTTATGGACTGTCGCCCTCCAGCTCCTCTGTCCAGGGCGTTCTCTAGGCAAGAACACTGGAGTGGGTTGCCTTGCCCTCCTCCAGGGGATCTTCTCGACCTAAGGATTGAACCCAAGTTTCCGGCATTGCAGGAGGATTCTTTACTGTCTGAGCCACCCCTTCCTCACTCCAGGTTTCATCTAAAATTGAGAGGTGTGAAGATAAACTAAGAAAGTGGGTTTTAGCAAGGAGATCAAATCAGTCAATCCTAAAGGAAATCAGTCCTGAATATTCATAGGAAGGACTGATGTTGAAGTTGAAACTCCAATACTTTGGCCACCTGATATAAAGAAGTGACTTATTTGAAAAGACCCTGATGCTGGGAAAGATTGAAGGCGTGAGGAAAAGGGGACGACAGAGGATGAGATGGTTGGATGGCATCACCGACTCAATGGACATGAGTTTAAGTAAACTCTGGGAGTTGGTGATGGACAGGGAAACCTGGCGTGCTGTAGTCCATTGAGTCGCAAAGAGTCAGACACGACTGAGCAACTGAACTGAACTGAATAAAAAATACATGTATTTATGTAACAAAGGTTCTAGTTTGAATCTAGCCTGATATATTTTATGGCATACTTGAACATACTTGGCGGGTGGGTAGGAAGAGTCTAGTTGGATGAGGATAGAACTCTCTTGGGAAATAAACCCATTTTTAGAAAGCCAAGCACATGCTTGGTTCACAACCAGATCTCTAGCCCTGGAGAATACAGACAGCACGGAGTACACTCTACCGTTCAGAGCGTCTTGGCCCAGCCCTCATGAACTGCTGGTTGAATTCTAGGAAAAATTCAGAGACACTGGAGTACAAATTGCTCAGAAGACCCCTTAAATCAGTTAAGTATTTTCAACTACAAGGAATTAAAATCCCTGACTCAGGTTGGCATAAACACTAAGAAAATTTTATTATACAACTAGAGCCCAAAGGCAGGACTTACCTGGTGGCTTAGACACTAAAGAATCTGCCTGCAATGCAGGAGACTCAGGTTCTATCCCTGGGTCAGGAAGATCCCCTGGAGAAGGGAATGGCAACCCACTCCAGTATTCTTGCTTGGAGAATTCCATGGACAGAGGCAAGTTACAGTCCATGGGGTCACAAAAGAGTCAATACGACTCAGCGACTAACACTTTCACTTTCACAAGGGTAAAGCAGCATCACTTTCATCCTAGGACTGGTTCTGTTCATGCTCACAATTTGGCTGCCAGTGGCAATGGAGCTATACACTTCGTGGTTTAGACTGACAGTGGCTGGGGGACTGCCACTGACTTGAATGAATCTGGTTCTATCCTTGGTGATCTAGGTGGTAGTTAAATCTCGAGATGTGTGAAAGGGAGAGTGGGTTTCTAAAAAGTGTTTTGGTTCTATAAGGTACTAATGAATATTCTGCAGGCAGTGGACATTTTGTATGACCCTGATCCAGTGTCTGGGGAGATGGGGAGCAGAGAACAACTCCTAAGTGGGTGAAAAAACTTACTGTTAGGGTCCCAGAACACAGGGGTGTTGACAAGTATGGGTGTCTGTGATAGCTTTGTAAGACTTGAAAGGCCATATCTTCCTCAAATGTCCACATGTAGTTTTGGGAATTTTTGGTGGTTAATATTCTTTAATATGAATCGACTTTATTCACTGCTATTGATTTGGGCAGAAATTACATGTTCCATGCAGCCGGAAGGAAGGTGCCTACACGAAGTTATCAACTCTCCATGAAGACTGGAGACTATACCAAAATGTACAAATGATGGCTGGAATTTGAGATGAGTGAAAATTCAAGAAGTACATTTGGACGGGCCTCTGGGGAACTGGCTAAAACAAAGAAAGGAAGATATTTATAACAATGGTTCTTCCTTGATTCACAGTATAATTATACTTCACGTCATGAATCCAGCTTATTTCTTGATAGGTGGGTTTGAATTACAGAAATTCTAGCTCAGCTTTAACCTCTGCTGATGGCATCATTTTAATGTTAATGCCTATTGTTATATGCCTCCTTTCTTTACCAGCAAGACCTCCTTGAGCTTATTAGAGAAGCTGTGTTCCCTACCTCTTTCAAAGCATCTACTTTGCATGTAAACAGGGAGCTTGGCTGTGGTGTAACTGAATTTCTAGGCACAGAAGTGTGGTTTCCTGACAGAAAATGAAACTCTGTCTTGAGTCCTTATGAATCCAACACGCATGCTAACTTCTTTTTTAAACTGTACATCAGACACACACCGAACAATCCTATTCTATTCCAAAGGAAAAAAGAATTAAACTTATGCTACATGCCTGTAAGGCATTTTAAAGTTAATCGGGCTCTTTGGGTCTAATTTAATTTGTGTAAGATTGCTGTCGATGATTAGAATAGCTATTTAAGATTTTTGTTAACAGTCTATTACGTGGACTTAATGGAAACACTCCAAAGCCAGTCTGTTCACTTTCCCCTGTCAAATTCAGGTTACAGAGCCTTCAAAGATGTTGAAAGTAGACATCAATATGAAAAGGGGATAGAATACAAATTAAAATCATAAATGTACTTACACTGCCAACGTTGAGCTTTGGTTAAAAACATCTGTCACATAAAAGCAAACATTCAGAGCTATTGTGTCTTGTAACAATTGTCTTTATTTTTCATATCTTTGGCATTTTCATCATTTTGTGTTACTGCTCCCTTTGGCATTTTCCTTATGAATGATGGCTTTCTTTAACATCACTGATTTCTCTACACAAACAGCGTTTGTAAGGCTTTGGTACCAAAACTACAAGGCGAGTGAATCCTAAGTATGGCTGGAATCCCAAGGGTCTCATAGAATCGAAAAAGTCCATGGATTGCTGCAAAGCACTTGAATAAAGTGGGTGTATTTAGCTTGTTCGAGCCATATTAAACCAAACTAGCGCTTTGATTTCCCCTACAAGGTTGCTTTTCATCATTTACATTTGTACACCTACCATTCTTACAGACATAAAATGACCATGAGAAACACTTTAGTACAATCAAGGACATTTCAGGATGTTCTTAAGACTCCTGTTGCTTCTTATCATCAAACATTTTTTTTTCAGATTAAAGATTTCATTTCTCATATTCCTTTGTTCCATAGCTTTAAGTTTTTTCTTCTCTTATTCTGTTTGCATTTTCTGTTATTCAGGCTTTGTGTTTCAAAACCACAGCCCTTCTAATTCATCTTTCTGTTCCTGCTTTTCTCTTTCATCTCCTAGATTTCCTCTCCCTTCCTCTACTCTTTCTCCTTTTATAGAATAAGAGATACTAAGGAGGGGAATAAGTGTTCCATGAACTGCAGCTGAGCATCCACTTACCATCAGGACGAGCAGGAGACTGTGAGCACATCCCCAGCACCTCTTCCACTGTCCAGCAACACTCCTGGCTTATCCAATGGTTGGCGGGGGTAGGTGCTGTGTAGGGCAGCACAGATGCCAAAGACTGCAGGAAAATAATTTGAAAATAACTGTCATTCACTGAGTGAGGAGCGGTTGTACCAAAATGCTAATCTTTACTTATTTTTGATTTAAGCTTAATGATGATAGGTATAATATTTCAATTTATACATTACAGTCAGGTGTATCTGCCTGCTCTAATGATTAAGGACTTTACAACTTATGTGGAAAGCATTACCTTGATGAGTATTTGGCTGTAGGGTTACCCTAAGTACTCTTATCCTAAAATGATTTTATAAAGTGTATTTATTCATAAGGTAGAACATAACATTAAGAGTATCCCTACATCTTATTTTAGAAAAGGAATCTCTGTTTTACAGTATTTTGTTAAATGCATAATTGACACTCAGACGTGGAACTGCTGGGTTGTAGGTTGTGTGTCCCTTCAAATTTATTGTTGTAGTTGTTGTTTAGACTCTAAGTCATGTCTGACTCTTTGTGACCCCATGGACTGTGGCCTACGGGGCTCCTCTGTCCATGGGATTCTCTAGGCAAGAATATAGAGTGGGTTGCCAGTTCCTCCTCCAGGGATTGAACCCGTGTCTCCTGGAATGGCAGGGCAATTTTTAGTTACTGAGCCACTGGCACTACTAAATTTTTCAAAGTGATTATAGCAATTCACTCTCTAATCAGTGACTTTTTAGAGTTCTTTCTCTCTCATGTCCTTAACAACATCCTGTGTAGTCAGATTAAAATATTTTCCTTAAAAAAATAAATAAATAAAATATTTTCCTTGCCAAGCCAGTGAGTGTAAGGGACCGTCTCAATGTTTCTTTATTTTTAAGTTCTCTCATTACTGGTGAGACTAATTATCTTTTCAAATGCTTACTGGTTATTCAAGTTTATTCTTCTATAAATTGCCTATTCACATTCTTTGCCCAGTTTTTCTATTATCACTTTTTCTTATTGATTTCTTGGAACTCTTTACATAATAGTAGTTGTCTGCTGTGTGCTATGCAAATATCCTACACGCATGTTGCTTTTCTACTTTGTATAAGGTATTGTGTGAGGATTTTTTTTAAAGTTTAAGATATTTAAGTTTATTATTTTTTTATCGTTTATGCTCTTGAATCTTGTATAGTAATAACTACAATACCATAAAGATATTATTTTCTATTTTTTCCAAACTTTTACAACATTGCATTTTTTTTAATTTAGGTTTTTCATCTATCTGAGTGCCAAATTTCCCAATACTACTAATTATAATGCTGCTTCTGTCATATGCCAAATGTCTACATCTAAGTTAAGTTAGTAGGCCTCTCTTTCCTTGGTATCCTGAGGTTTCATGCTGATGTGTCTAACTATGGTCCTCTGACTTTCACTCAAGAGTGAGGGCACATTATACAGAGTGAAGTAAGTCAGAAAGATAAAGACCATTACAGTACACTAACACATATATATGGAATTTAGAAAGATGGTAACGATAACCCTATATGCAAAACAGAAAAAGAGACTCAGATGTATAGAACAGACTTGTGGACTCTGGGAGAAGGCGAGGGTGGGATGTTTCAAGAGAACAGCATCGAAACATGTATATTATCTAGGGTGAAACAGATCACCAGCCCAGGTTGGGTGCATGAGACAAGTGCTCGGGCCTGGTGCACTGGGAAGACCCAGAGGGATCGGGTGGAGAGGGAGGTGGGAGGGGGGACCGGGATGGGGAATACATGTAAATCCATGGCTAATTCATTTCAATATATGACAAAAACCACTGCAATGATGTAAAGTAATTAGCCTCCAACTAATAAAAATAAATGGAAAAAAAAGAGTGAGGGCAAAATAGACTTTCAGAGCAACAAAGCCTGAGAAATCGACTAGGTCCTTGTTGTAAGAGCTACTGAATTATGTTCTTCAGGAAGAAGAATACCGAAACCAGATGAGAGAATTGGGAGGTAAGAAGCAATACATCTTTGCTTTATTTGGCAAAGGTGCAAATAAAACAAAACAAGCTCTGACTATCAAACAGTAATAATTATACATGTTGGCTATTCTAAGGGTTATTTAGCAGCCAGTTTCTTCCTAAGTGTGTTATAAAAGGGAAGAAAGGACAAAGCAGAGAAAAATCACAAAAAGAGTACATAGAAGATGGAAGATTTTTGAGATATCTGTGCGGTTAAGAACAGTTTTGTGCTTTCCTCTCCCTCTTTTTTACACTAGGTTAATTAGTGAAAAAAATCATGCATTTTTGAAAATATTGATGATTTGTAGATTTTTTAGTTTGAAATAATAGTTACAATAGTACTTAAATAGTACTTAGTTTGAAAAGCATCTTACAATGTTATTTTAAGCATTAAAAAGTAAGTAAATATCCAAAAGCTAGGAGAAACACAAGCATCCATCAATGGGTGAATGGATAAACAAAATATGGTATATACACATAGTAGAATATTTTTCAGTTTTTAAAAAGGAAATTCTGACATATGTTACAACATGGATAAACTTTGAGGACATTATGCCAAGTAAAATAAGCCACTCCTTAAAAGACAAATACTGTGTAATTCCGCTTGTGCAAGGTACCTAGAGTAATAAAATCCATAGAGACAGAATGTAAGTGGTGCTTGCCAGCGATGCAGGGGGAGGAAACAGGAGTTTTGTTTAATAAATACAGACTTTCAGTTTCACAAAAGATGAAATAGTTCTGGAAATGGGTGGTAATGATGATTGCACAACAATGTGAATGTATTTAATGCCACTGAAATGTACACTTAAAACTGGTGACGATGGTAACATTTTATATGTGTATTTTAAGACAATTAAAAAATAATTCAAAGAAACAAGTAAAATTATCTGTCTGTTTTATATGTGTTCAGGGGTGGTAGTATTTCTGAGACAGGAGTCAACTCCTTTTTTCAAGGTTCTAAGACACCAAGTTCAGTGTGGTGGGGTCATGGGTCATATCTTATTTACCTCTCACAGTGCCAAATCTGATCAGTCCAGACAACTACTGGAATCAATTTTCCTAACACCTCTAGAATCTTTTCCCCTCTTTCAATTAGCACTCCAAGACTCTTCAGGACCTATTATTTCTTACTTAAATTAACACAATAAAATTGTAACCAGTCTCTCTATTACCATCTATTTTCCATATTTCAAACTGAGGGATTTTCCAAAAGTATGTATCTGTTTAAAAAAAGAAGAAGGAGGGGAAAAAAATAATGAATGAGGAGAAGACAGTGATTAAACAATGTGACATAAGGCAGAAAAATCAAGGAGAATATACAGCCTGAGAAAGAGCTGAGAGGAGAGAATAGTTTAAATTGTGGAGACAGAAGCCTGATGACCAGACGTTAAGAATAAAATGAAGAAAGTACAATGAAATTGCCTGTCTGCCTAGAATTCTCTCTCATCTGTCTGCCTGGCAAACATTCAGTCTTTTTTTTTTTTTTTTCCATTTATTTTTATTAGTTGGAGGCTAATTACTTCACAACATTGCAGTGGGTTTTGTCATACATTGACATGAATCAGCCATGGAGTTATATGTATTCCCCATCCCGATCCCCCCTCCCACCTTCCTCTCCACCCGATTCCTCTGGGTCTTCCCAGTCCACCAGGCCCGAGCACTTGTCTCATGCATCCCACCTGGGCTGGTGATCAAACATTCAGTCTTTGAAGACCAAATAAACGACATCTTTTCTGCAAAGCCTTCCTTAATAGCTTCAGGAAAAGTTGAAAGGTTCTCTTTCCCCATATCAGAGTCCCTTGTGCGTGCTTTTTCTATGTGTTGGGCTATGCTCAGTCATTCAGTAGTGTCCAGCTCTTTGTGACCGCCACAGGCTTAGCCAGGCTCCTCTGGCTATGAAAATTTCTAGGCAAGAATACTGGAGAGGGTAACCATTTTCTTTCACAGGGGATCTTCCCAACCCAGAGCTCAAACCCGCATCTCCTGCATGGCAGGCAGATTCTTTATCACTGGGCTACCGGGTATGAGATTTATTAAATCTTTTTAATTATTTTTTCATCACTTCCTGTAACTAGACTGAGCCCTTGGGAATAGATATTATTTTCTATTTATCTTTGTATTCCCAGATCCTAGCAAGATATGAATAACATAGCGCTGGATGAATGAATGAGTGGTGTTGAAAACATCTATAACTTAAGTGATCTTAATCTAATTAATAGTTCTCCCACTCAGTGGAAAGCCACTGAGAATCTAGCTCCCTGATCACCCTGAGGAAAATGGTCATGATGTATTGATATAATACCCACTCATAAATCTCATCTTGTATTTGCATGATAGTCATAATTAATACATAACACACAGCCTGTAGCCAGCTGTATATCAACTAATTCTGCCCGGAGCCAGCCATAGATCAACACATTTTGTGCACAACTTATCTTGTAGAGAGTCTAATTTCAGCTCCACTGCTCCCACCTTTTCATTCAAGCCAAACCCAGCCTGCTACCTGTTCTTGTAAATAAAGTTTTACTAAAACACAGCCATGCTCATTTACTTACCTATTGTTTATGGCTATTTTCAGGCTGCAAAGGCAGAGTTGTTGGGTAGCTGCTCCAGAAATTGGATAGTCTGCTTAGTCTAAAACATTCGTAATCTGGACTTGTAGAGAATACATTTGCCAACACTGGTTTAGTTGATAGGCTAAAACTGTAAGTAAACATGATTTCATGTCTTATGTTAGGTGACTGGTCTTTTGGTTTAAGCTCTTATTATTTACGCAAATTGTCTCTAACATGCCATACATTTTTCCACTTTTCATAGTCTCAGCTGTTTAAGTAAAAGAAATGAATGCACTAACACACAATTCAGGATGGTTCTATTTTTAGGTGAGCTCTTCACCCACTGCTCTTCTCTATCATACACACATGATGCTCTGAAAATTGTAGATGAAAATTCATTTTAACTTAAATTACTAACTTCTGTTAAATTATACTGTACTGCTACATTAAGTGAGCATTATTATCCACATTAAATCTGTCACCAGAGAACAAGTAGACACAGAGAAGCGTGTAACCCCTTATTAGACCGAG